CATTGAGGCAGCTAATGATTACATTAGAGCAGTTATCTCTGCAGTTTTTTGCAAAGAAGTTCATACAGTTAACGTTATTTGTTCTGAGTTTTTATGTCTGTATCTGTTTTTTCTGTAAATGCCAGAGGTGCTAGAGACCAATTGAAAAGGAAATTTTTATTTTTATTTTTTCAAAACAAAGGTGCTGATTTTTATTTTATACAGGAGACTCATGCTACTAATTCGGATATTTCTTTTTGGAAGAGTCAATGGGGGAAAAATATATGGTTTTCATTTGGGAGTAACCGGTCAGCAGGGGTCGCTATTTTACAGGGAAACTTCAAAGGGCACATTATTAAGCATTTAGCAGATTCAAATGGGAGATGGGTAATACTGGTTGGTGATGTAGATCATTCCCAATTCATTATTATAAACATATATGCGTGTAACAACAAAAAAGACAACAAGTTATTATTTACAACAATAGAAAATAAAATTAACCAGCTGATTACAACTTTTCCTACTGCCAAGATTATATGGGGAGGTGATTTTAATACAGTTATGGATGGAAATCTGGATAGATGGCCTCCAAGAAACAGTTCTTCAGATGAGTTGGAGAATGTATGTCAAAGGATGAGTCTTGTCGATATCTGGAGACACAAAAATCCCAACAAAAGCATATATACTTGGAGTAATAAAGATAAGTCACAGCAGTCCCGTATAGATTTCTGGTTGATCTCTTCGGAGATCGATGACAAGATGGTTTCAGTTCATATAGAACCTACTGTTCTCACAGATCACCAAGCCATTTATATAAAGATAGATTTAATAATACTTAGTTACAGACCAAACAGAGATTATTGGAAATTAAACCAAATGCTATTACAAAATAAACAATTTAAGGATGATGCCGCCGTAATAATTGGAAAATATTGGAGAAAAGCTAATCTTGATGACAACTTTGGAAGCTGCTGGGAGCTAATGAAATTTGAAGTTCGTAAGTTAGCTATAATACTAGGGAAGAAAATAGCCAAAGATAAGAGAGAGGAAGAATCCAGAGTTATCACTAGATTAATAAAGCTATCAGAGAAAATTAATTTAACTGGATGTGAATTTACAGAACTAACTTCTTTACAACTTAAATTGGACAAGATGTACGAAGACAAAGCTAAAGGGGCTTTTGTCAGATCTAGGAGGAAATGGCTTGAAAAAGGGGGAAAATGCACTAAATATTTCTTTAATCTAGAAAAAAGAAACTTTGAAGTATCATCCCTAAGTAAATTGAAAATCAATGATGTTGTCTGTGATGATAAGATGCAGATTTCAAAATACGTTGCTGATTTTTATCAAGGATTGTACTCTACTGATGTCGAAAATGCAAAAAACATGCATCTCTTCCTAAAAAGTAAACAAAATTATATTGATGTCATTGACGATGGCTTTAAATTAGTTTGTGACAGAGAGATTTGTTTATCAGAAGTGCAAAAATGTATTGCCTCTCTAAAAGAAAATAAATCGCCAGGGAATGATGGGCTGATAAGTGAATTCTACAAGGTTTTTGACCAATTGTTAGCTCCTTTTTTAGTTAAAGTTTATATAGAAGCCATTAAGAAAAGGGAACTCCCACCAACTATGCGACAAGGACTTATTAAACTGATTCCCAAACCAAATAAAGATAAATTAAATATTGAAAATTGGAGACCGATTAGTTTATTGAATAATGATGCTAAAATATTTGCACTAATTTTTGCTAAAAGATTAAAATCAGGGTTAGATGATATAATTGATGAAGAACAATCAGGCTTTATGCCAGGCCGGAATATAGGTAATAATATACGTTTGATTTTGGATATGATTGATTACAATGAATATATAGTAGATGATAGTTTTGTACTATTTGTCGATTTTTATAAAGCATTTGACACAGTTAGTCATCAATTTATGTTAAAAACAATCAAATGCTTTGGTTTTGGAGAACAGTTTTTAAAGGCTATTCAAACTCTATACAGAGGATGTAATAGCTCAGTTAAACTTGCGCATGGCACAACTCCTAGATTTGAGGTCGGTCGTGGAATACGACAAGGATGTCCCCTTAGCCCTTTTCTTTTTCTCCTTGTTACACAAATTATGGCCAGACATATTAAAAATGCCCAGTTCCAAGGTATATTGACATTAGGTACAGAATTTAAAATTTCACAGTTAGCGGATGACACGGCATTATTTCTCCGTAATAAGCACGAGGTTATCATAGCAATTGATTCTATCACAAAATTCTCAGAAGTCTCGGGTTTAAGAATGAATCTAAATAAATCCGCCTTGTTATCACTAAAGGAATGTGACTTATCAGAAATAAGTGGGATTCCTGTTAAAAATACAATAACATACTTGGGGGTTATCATTGATAAAAATGAAAAAAGGCGTTGCAATCTCAATTTTGACCCCATAGTAGAGAAAATAAGGAAAAGATTTAATATATGGTTGATGAGGGATTTGTCACTGAACGGCAGAGTTGTATTGTCTAAGGCAGAAGGGATATCACATGCCGTCTATCTATCTTTATCCATGGGAATGCCAGCTAGTGTATATAAAAAACTTGATAAGATCTTATTTAATTTCATTTGGAGGAATAGATCCCATTATTTACGTAAATATATTTTATGTAATTTAAGGAAAGATGGTGGTCTTGAAGTATTGACCTTTGAAACCTTAAGTAATTCCTTTTTGGTGAGATGGTTAAGTAATTTAATTAAGGAAGCAGAGACCATTTGGAACACCTTTCCCAAATACATTTTTGATTCACTTTGAGGTTTAAACTTCTTGTTGAAATGTGACTTTAAAATTGAGAAGTTACCTGTGAAGTTGGCCAACTTTCACAAGCATGCCCTGTTAGTTAGCCTGGAAAATGGTCTACAAACACAATTTTTCTCCCACGAAATGTTATATTTGGAACAACAGGAATATTCAATATAAAAATAAATCTATACCAAAGATGGGTTGATAACAACATTCTATTAGTTGAACAACTCATGAACACAGAAGGTCAGTTACTAACATTTTGAGTTTCTTTCAAAAGCAAAATTTCCTGTCTCCCCTAGGGAATATGCCATCGTTTTTGATGCTGTGCCAAGAAATATCATTCAGTTTTTAAAATATAACTCAACTGTTGTAAGTGGCAGTTATTTGACTACACAAGAAATTTTCCTTGGCGACATTGACATCACTACCAAAAAATGTCCAAACAAATACATTAGGAATCTAATGCACACTAAAACACTTCCTGCAGCACGATCCTTTTGGGCTTCTCAGTTTGAAGAAATCAAATGGGAAAGAATGTGGTTAATTGGGGACAAGTTCCTCTTAAATAATAAAATAAAGGAGGTGTCTTATAAAATTGTACATAGAATATACCCAGCAAAGAAAACTTTAGAGAGATTTAAAATTGATATTGAATATTCCTGTACCTTTTGTGGTAATTAATAATATGATGAAACAATTTGTCATCTGTTTTATGATTGTACAGTAAGATATTTTGGAGAGATGTTGAAAACTATATAAGACGTAAAACTGGACAAACTTTAACATTGAGGGGAAAATATGTGTTTATTTACTTTGAAGATGGTGGAACAGATAAGGATTTTTCTTTTTTTGTCCAATTGTTTTTAGTTTTAGGAAAATTCCATATTCATAAGAAGAAATGGGCAGAGTCCAAACCAAATTTTGAACACCTTTTAGCAGAGCTAAAACAATATCACACCACTGTAAGAGGTCTTAAAAATAGAAAGGCTATTAAGACCGATCTTGTACTCTCTAAATATGTTTAATTTGCATCCTTTTATATAATTTGGTCTTGTTTTATATATTTTTATTTTATGGTTATTGTTTGTCTTGTATGTCTGTTTTAGTAGTGTATTTTGTGTATCAACCCTGGCATAAACAGATGTTGTTGTATTATATTGTTAATACTAAAAAAAAAAAAATTAAAGGATCATTATGGTAAAGTATTCCCCCCAGTATCAGTAATTAAATTAATATAAACATGTGATTAGTCGACTAATGGCTTAAATTAACAACTAGAGTCAACTAGAAAAATCTTTAGTCGGGGGCAGCCCTATGAAAATGTGTACTCGGAGGAAGACCGCGAGAGCTTAGGGTTCCATCTCCTGTGTGTTAAGTCGCTGTCATGGGAACAGTGCAGAGGAGTGTTTCTCCTTTAGATGGCGCTGATGTGCAATGTTGACTGTCGAAATGATGTTGCCGTGCTAGTCAGGTTGTGGATATCAGTTGAACTTGTTCAGTAAATTGGTCCATTATGACATCAAATTTCAGGATCATGTAGGCTTATGAAGTTAACATAATCATTTAATTAAAGACAAATTAAAATATCACAAAATGTTTATTATGCATATTTGGTCTACAACAATGCATGGTTGCACATTAATTCAATTCACCACCATTAAAAAAAAGCATTTAAATTCAAACCTGTATGTCCTACAGTGTCAAATGCTATGTAAATAAATGTAAAAAATATGTACAAAACAGGTTTATAAAAATTAAGTGTGGACCTGTTGAATGTTTATTATCACTATTCATTTATATATTTACATTTTCCTTCAGAATGTTTCTTAATTTAATGGATCTATACATTTGTTCAAAGTTTTTTAAACCAGAACAATTTAATTAAATTTAAACAAAAATTCAAACCTCCCTCCCTCACTCACTCATGTTTTATGGGGACTTTCCATTGGCATAATTAATTTTATACTGTATATTCGATCCCCTAATCCTAAACAGCCCTCACAGAAAACATTCTGCATTATTTTACATTTTCAAAAACACATAATTTAGTGTGATTTATAAGCTGTTTTCCTCATGGTGATCAAAAAATGTAACAGATACGGTATTGCTTTCCTTGTGGGGACATTTGGTCCTCACAAGTCACAGCGTATGACAGGACCACACACACACATACATGCAGAGAGAGAGAGAGAGAGATATCTGTATATTCACTATCTAGATATCTAAGGTTAACCATTCACTACGGTGCTGTAGATGGCTGAATCATTCTCCTGCCCTGTGTTGGCAGACCTAGAAATAAAGATAATCGTTTCAGTAAAATTGTTACAAACTCATATTCACTTATACAGTTAATATTACTTCAAGAAAGACAGTCAAATATGATTAAACATGTTGCATTATCTTCATAACTAATGGTCAGATTACAAAATGTAAGTACAGCACGAATAAATATCGATGTGTCTCTTGAATGCTCACATTTGAAGCCGTTCTTTAGGTTGAATGTGGACAGATGCATATAGCACTTCATCTTCTGCTTCCTCTAGGTTTGTAGAGACTGTGGGTGTTTCTGTTTTAGCCTTACAGAAGATGGCACAGAACATGTCAACAACGGTCATCTTTTGTTAATGCCCTGCTGAAGAGACCAGCTTAGTTCAGCATAACCAGAATGGTTTTTCTGATGAAACTGGTTGACCAAAGGAGGCTTGCTGATTAAGCAAACACAACATGTTGGCGTCATTTCAACAGGGCATACATCTTGTACAATTATGATTTACTGTATAATTTAACACAATCCTAAACACGATAACACTTGTTTTTGTTCTTCTTATGCATGGCATATTTACTCCCTACAGGAGATACATGTACAAAATACATACACAATGTTTAGGTTTTACAAATATCTTTACAGTTGTTTGGTGAGTGCTGTATTGAGAAACCTGGTTTTCTTCTCCTTCCTCCTTTGGTTTGCCGCGAGTTTCTGCTTTCCTTTAAAAAGTAAATGTATAGCAGACATGCATTATAAATTGCATAATTTAGCTGATACAGGATCTTGGATGATTTCAGAAAAGGGTTTGATTCTGAGAAAATATTTTACAATAATTATTTATTTTAACAAATAAATAAACAAAATAAACAAACAAATTCGTGAACTGAATAATTTGTTTTGGCTGTATGCGCAGTCTTTGTGTCGCAAGCCTCACTCACTCGCCCTCGCCAACATAAAACTCTCGGGCAGAAACACATAATGCACTTTATGCACATAATGCTCATTATTATTCTTATGTGTTTTCTGAATTGTGGAAGGTCAGTTAATGTTTCATTCAGACTGACTGAAAGAGTTATAATACATTGGTGTGTGCAAGAACAAACAAAACAAAAAGTCCTACCTTCTTATAAGCATCACAGCTGCAATAACGAAACCAAGTGAGAGTAAAGACACTACAATAATCAGAACTGTTGGGGACACAGCAACATCTATTGAGGACAAAGGGATAGATCATTTGCTTTAAAGTATACACAAACCTGTCATTTTCCAAAGATGAATATGATCGTGTAGATATGAAAGTATGTGTAATATGTTTACCAGTTCAACCAACCTTCAATGTAAATTCTAAATTCTTCAGATACAGTTGTTTTAAAGTTCCTCAACGAACAAGAGTAATTCCCAGAGTCTTCAGTAGTTACACTGCTGAAGGTGAGGATGGGTTCTGAATGTGTCATCGGTTCCTCATTCTTAAACCACTGAACTTCATCTAAATTAGAGCAGTCGAGTGTGCATGTCAGACTCAAAGAGTCTCCTACTATTATGCTTCCATTGTCTCTCGATCTGGTCATTAACACCCTTAAATCTGTCAGAAAACAAGAGAAAAAGCCCATAATGAAATTGAGGGATTCTTTTAGAAAACAAAACAGCAACTACAAAAGCATCAAGTATTTTTTCCCCCCAGAATAAACCTTTTATATTTACCGTGTGCTGAAATTTCCACTCCAGGATCACCTGTCCATTTTCCGCCTGGCGAATTGGTTATAAATCTGAATTTATACTCTCCAGAATATGTTTGAGTAATATTACTGATCAAAAGAGAACAATTTGAAGTTTTATCTCCAATGTATTGAAAGTTGCTTTGATTATTGTTGGCACCACTGTCATAAACATATGGCATATTTTTACAGACATCATGGTTTGATCTCTTTGAACACCACAGCACTCGCGCTACTTGCCCAGGTGGATATGTAAATGAACAGGCAATAGTGACATTGGATCCCCTCACAGCACAGATCGGAGGAGGATACATCACTTTCCACTCATTATTACTGAGAACACCTGGAGCACAAAACACTTCATTTAATTAGAGAATTTGTTACAATGGATAGTTAAAATTGAGGCAATCTATTATAGATATTATCTATTGTGAAATTTGTAAGAAATAATTTACATAATGAATCAATAATATGCTATGGTAAGATTCAAAGGTCTGAGACCACATTGAAAATTTAGTTTTTTTCATTTAATCCTGGAAATAAACAAAGGAAAAAAAGAGTAAAATACAGAAAAGTTACAGCATAAATAAGAAATATTTAAGATTTTGCACTATTTGTGTCACTAAAAACAAAACAATGTGATCTCCATTGTATGTATACAATAAATATTCAGTTTATGCAATATAATAGGCCTATCAATTTTATCAGATAATTAGAGTAGGAATGAACAAGAGACAACATTTACAAAAGACATAAGAAAATGTTTTCTTACCAGGCAAGAAAAGTAGACCTAAAAAAATTTGTAGCATTTCAATTCTCTGTTTCTGTTATTTGGCTTAAAGAAGATGTTTTCATATCACTGACGAAAGACTGAATGAAAGAAGAAGTTGCACAGACAAACACTGCATTTGCGTTTCCTTCTTAATATCCTTAATACTGATGGTCCCACTTAACCAAAAAAAAAAAAAAAGGCAAGCGAGAAAATGATTCTCTGAAAGAGGAAAGGGAAATATAAACCTTAAACATTTAAACATATAAACCTTTCTTTCACTCAAGTATTGTATGCTTTGGTTTTAGATTTTGTATAGTAAATGCACTGTAAACCCTAATAAGTTGATAACTTGATTGATAAGGCCAGCTGCATAAAATAAAATGTTCCAGTGTATATATTGTTGCATTTACTTATATTATAAACAAGCAATAAAACATTAAAACAAGTTACTGCTTCACATCAACAGCTTTATTAAGATTTGATCTCTTACATTTAATAGCTGAACTTACATAAAATATAGTAATTTAACACCATAGATCAGTAAATTGATGCATTAAGAGATCAAATTATGGAATCATGTAGGCTTAGATAAAATAATAATGCAAGACAAATCAAAATATGTATCATGCACATTGGTCTACAACAATGCAATTGCACATTCATTAAATTCCCTACAATTAGTTTTTAAAGTATTAAAAAAACAAAGCATTAAAAACAATACCACACAAAACTGTATGACCATGTGTCAAATGCTAAAATAAATATTAAAAATATATACAAAACAGGTGTAGAACTGCAAGCTACAGTATGTTCTTGAGAAGCATATATACGGTGGCCGAGAGAGCTCAACGCGCTGCAACTGAAGCAAACACATGCAAATAGAAAAAAAAGTGTGCAAATAGAAAAAAAAAGTGTGCAAATAGAAAACAAAATCTTCATCAGTTTCACAACACACGTGTGCTCGAAATACAGAAACGTGCTGCAAAAGTTCACAACACAACCAAATACAGAAACGCGCTGCAAATAACACAGACCAAAAGGAAATGTTTCCAGGGGAACCAAACAAGTGACGAACCCGGCTGGGACGTGCTTATTGCTCGTGAGCTTCTCTATGCCATACTCCCTTCGAAGGGTAGACGCCAGAGCCCTTGAAGTGGGCCTTTGGAGTGAGCAGGGCACTCGTGTGCCATTATGTAGCCGTTTGGAACGCACTTGATGAAGGGAGCAACGAAAGACAACGTAATTTCCTCATTATTTTCACCTGGGATGTTCCCATGACAACGCAGCACGATGCGATCAGCTGAAGAGCTCTTCTAAGTTACAACAGAAATATAATGCTGTTAACATAGCGGTTGCAAATAAATGTTTATTTTTACTTTACAAAAAGCTTTTAAAATATGCGTCATATGGGACCCTACATTATAGCATTTCTTATGAAACTTTTCTTTATGAAAATTTAAACATGACATGAAACAATTTGTACAGTGTAACTGATGTATAGATAAATATCTTTCCTTCATGTTCTTCTTCTCTATCTTTTTTATTTATTTATTTTAGTTTTCAGCTCATTGTTCTTTTCTCATTTGTATTCTAAAGACATTGAACATAATTGCTAATACATTTTGTACATTGTATACAAGTTGTATATCATAAAAATGTAATCTCTGTATGTTTTGAAAAAATAAATAAATAAATATAGTAGAATTTTAAGCTGTAGTGTAAGTCTATGAGTGTAAGCACCAGCACGTCCCAGCCGGGTTCGTTACTCTTTTGGTTCCCCTAGAAACATTTCCGTTGTGGTCTGTGTTATTTGCAACGCGTTTCGGTATTTGGTGGTGTTGTGAGTATTTGGAGCTCACGTGTGTTGTGAAACTGATGAAGATGTTTTCTTAATTTGCGGTTGTTTTTTTATTTGCATGTGTTTTTTTCTATTTGCATGTGTGTTCTTCATGTTGCAGCGCGTTGAGCTCTCTCAGCCACCGTACCCTTATTTATAGCTACTACTGAAATTCATTATATTTACATTTTTCCCCCAGAATGTATCTTAATTTGAATTAATTCATTAATCCAAAAATGTTGTTTTTTTCAGTAGGTTTACTTATACTGCAGGTCTGATGTTTTTCAGATTTTTATCACAATGTAATGCAAATTGACCTGTTTAAAATGTTCAGTGATCTTGGATGTTTAATTTGATTGGATCGTTGGATTCTGTGGTTTGCTATTGCTGTGATCTCGAGTGACAGGTTGTCCCGCCCTTACTTGTTCACAATTTCTAAAACTATAGCTCCATTTCTTGAAACTCTACTTTGTGCAAAATCACAACACACACAACACGCAAAACATCTCTCGCAAAAGCAAACACTTAATTCAAAACTATTTTAACTCTTCCAAAAATGGTGTTTTTGCATAGTAACTCTACACACAAACATCAAATGATTGGCCACATAGACACCAAACTACACACGGATGTGAAAAATGTAAAACACTACTATCTTGTGTCTTTTGCCTGTTCAGTGTGCCGTGGAGTTACAGGAGTGTGTCACACGTATGTACACAAATACACTATATACAGTACGGATGAATTTTACAGTTATGGAACTGAACCAATACTGAACTGACTTGAGCTATAATGACACTACAGGCTTGTTAGAATGGCTTTGCAGCAGAATTTGAATTTGTTACTAATGTGAAGCTGCTGCAATCAATCTATATTGTAATACATTAAAGTTGATTTCTAAGTGATCAATTTATGCATAAATGTTTTCACACATGAGCAGTGAGTGTAGGTCATCAGTAAATCAATGTGGCATTTACAGTTTTCAAATTGCTTACACAACTTCTGAAACTATAGCTCCCCATTTCTTGAAACTCTACACACAAAACCACAACACACACACATGCAAAACTCAGACATCTCTTGCAAAAGCAAACACTTCATTCAAAACTATTTTAACTCTTCCAGAATTTGCGTAGTATCTCTACACACAATCAAATGATTAGCCACATACAGATGTGAAAAATGTAGGCCTACTTGTGTCTTTTGCTTGTTCAGTGTGCAGTGAAGTGTTCTGGAGTTTGTCACACGTATATGTATCTGCAGAAATATTCGTTTCTCTAAATACCATGTGTAAATGTGGCCTGTGACACATACAAGCCAAGTCAAAAAGTCAACTTCTTTCTAAAGCGCTGTGTGTGTGTGTGTGTGTGTGTTGTGTGTGTGTGTGTGTGTGTGTGTGTGTGTGTGTGTGTGTGTGTGTGTGTGTGTGTGTGTGTGTGTGTGTGTGTGTGTGTGTGTGTGTGTGTGTGTGTGTGTGTGTGTGTGTGTGTGTGTGTGCGTGTGTGTGTGCGTGTGTAAGTTTGTGTGTGTGTGTGTGAGTGTATATATATACAGTCATAAATATATATACATACATACATACATACATTCATACATACATATGTAAATATGTATATACATATTAATTTATAGAAATTCAAGTGGGTAAAAATGTTTTCTTTCTTTTTCAAAACACTGAGTTTTGGTTTCTAAGTGATCAATTTATGTATAAGAGTTTGTTGGGTGTAGGCCATCAGTAAATTATTGTGGCATTTAAATGGCAGTGTTTCCCAAAAGAAACCCAAGGGCTGTTAGTTTGGAATGATGTGTCTAATGTCAATTTTGCAAAAAGTTTGTTTTTCAATTGCAAACTGAGTTTAAAGCGTATATTGTGCTTGTAGTTTTGCAGACTTGGTCTGAAAATTCGGTACATGAGTGAAAGGTTTCACTGAGTGAGCCTCAAGTTCCACTTTTAGTGTTTAAGCAAATTGAAAAAAACTGTAATAGTGCAGACAGTCTGCCTGAAAAAAAAGCAGATTTGCCTGCAGTCTGAGGCCCTGTTTACACCTAAGAAGCGTTTTCGTCAATCCGATCACAAGTGGACGACGCTTAATGCAGGTGTAAACGGGATCTGAACCGTTGAGCTTGTACACTTTCCGGAGGTGGTCAAAAATACATTTGATCGGATTGCTTTTGTTGTATTGACGCTCATGTGCGAATGCATTCGAACAGCCACAAAAGGCCGCATACTCTCCGCTATACTGACCTAATGAGTAAACATTATAGGAAGCGTGCTCAGACGGGATTTAAACTTTGTTAGCTGAAGACCCAAGTTTGGTTTGAAGACAAAAAATGTACCAAGCACAAGTTTTTTCACCACTCCTGAACAACAACAGACTATGGTGCCTAAAACCCAGGTTTGGCGCAAACTAAACTGAAACATACCTGGCTATCCACCTAAACTTACTTCATGGTATAGGCCCCAGGTGTAAACAGGAATCTCTCTCCACTACTTGTGATCCAATCGACCAAAACGCATCTTAATACCAGGTGTAAACAGGGATCACTCACTCACTCACTTACACACATCTGTATCTTTACTGCTGAAAGTATAACATCACGGTGCTGTAGATGGCTGAATCATTCTCCTGCTCTGTGTTGGCAGACCTAGAAATAAAGATAATCGTTTCAGTGAAATACTCACGAACATATATTTACTCACTATCAATATTATGAAAGACAGTCAAATATGATTAAACATGTTGCATCGTCTTCATAACTAATG